CAAAATTCTTTATAGAAGGAGAAAAAGAAAAAATTTTTAAAGAGAGAAAGAGCTTAAAAGTGAGAAAGTTTCTTTATGATTGCCATATACTTTCTGAGAAGAAAAACGGAAAACAGAAGGCGGCTCAAATGAGCTGAAATAAATAATGAAAGCCCAAGGATTCATAAATTGATGCATACTGCCCTGCAGTTGTGTGACACTGATATGAGATCAAAACTTAGCAAAATTTCGATGAACTCTCCTTGTTTTCAGCCTATGTAATGCCTATCCCATCATAAAATAAACTCTACCTGAGGCAAGATACAGTCTGGAGGAAAACCAACCCCGGACCAGGGGAACTGGGGCGCTAGTATTAATACCACCTCTGTCCACTGAGTATGTGATTTTAGGAGAGAGATAACGTAACTCTATCAGTGTGAGGTTTTTAAATTAATACTAAATGATTTCCAAAGTTTGTTTCAATTCCAACAGTTCATCAGACATGATTCATTAAAAATCTCTAAGGTAGTAAGAATTAAAACCTTTTCTTAAAGGGCCCAATAGCAAATATTTTAGGCTATGGGCCATATAGTCTTTGTGGTAAGTACTCAGTCATGCTGTTATAAAGCAAAAGGAGACATAAACAACACATAAGCAAATGAGCATTCCTGGCTTCTAGTAAAATTTTACTTATGGAAACCAAACTTTAAATTTAATATAATTTTCATATGTCACAAAGCATTTTTCTTTTTTTTTTTTTCCAAGCATTTAAAATGTAAAAATCATTCTTAGTTTGCAGGTCACACAAGCTGAGATTAAGCCTACAGGCCATGTAGTTTGCCAACCCTTGGTCTCTAACAGCAGGTGACTATCGTGATCTGGAAAGTCATGGTGGTAATTCTGGGTGGCCTTGGAAGGTCGGTAATTTGGCTTCAATTACTGACAATAGTCGTTGAGGATATTTTTGTTTACTTGGTTTTTCAGTTAGCAAAATTGAGAATTAGAAAAATTAGTCATTTTTGAGCATCAGCCAATAATCAACAATTACTTCATTTTTTTGCTACATTTTCACACCTATAGAAATGCTAATAATCACACAAGAAGTCGTATACAAAAAGTTCAGGGCTTACTGGCAGAAAGTTTTGATAACCATAAAATGAGCAAAAAAACTTTACGTCTTCTCTTGAAATCATTCCATGCACTTGGGAACCCTAGTGACCTCTTTGTATTCTTCCTCTCTATTGGGCAGCATAATGAGTGATTTTATGCATTGGAGGAGGAGGAAATGAAACACTGGTTTTTGTTATTGTTGCTTTGACTTTTTTGTTTAAGAAAGGAAAAAATAAGTTAACAAAATGACATGCATTCATATAGGGCACCTATGTGCATTCTACAAGTATGAGGAATACATATACCATAGAGATGTAGAGCAATGTGTAGAGGTGCTGTAGAATATGACATAGAAAAGACTTTTTTTTTTTTTTTTTTGAGATGGAGTCTCACTCTGTTGCCCAGGCTAGAGTGCAGTGGCTCCATCTTAGCTCACTGCAACCTCTGCTTCCTGGATTCAAACAATTCGCCTGCCTCGGCCTCCCCAGTAGCTGGGAATACCACCATGCCTGGCTAATTTTTGTATTTTTAGTAGAGACAGGGTTTCACCATATAGGCCAGGCTGGTATTGAACTCCTGACCTCAGGTGATCCACCTGCCTTGGCCTCCCAAAGTGCTGGGATTACAGGCGTTAGCCACCATACCTGGCCAGGGATGACAATTTTTTAAAAGAGAAAGATTAGATAATAAAATAATCAGTCTTTTTTAGAGTGAGGAACACAGTTTTGATTCTGAGACAGCAAAAGATGAAGCACTATGATGACAGCACTTCTCTCAATCTCATTAAGAGGATATGATATCATTTAATTAGAAAACTGTTAATAACACCCCTCTCCTAGTTAAGGTGTACAGTTGGGGAGTACTTGGGAGGCGGGTCCCCTCTTAAGAGAGAGAAAACCTAATAATGTTATATCTATTCAGGATGATGTAAAAAACTTTGAAGTACCTCCTCATTCATGTCCATTCTTTTATTTATTTTTGACATCCAATGACTTCTGGAGTTTTCATTGGCCTCCGACTCCCCACAGGGTACCATGCTTCTGCTGGTTCATCACCTCAGAACTTTGGTGTTATTAGTCTCAGACACCACTTTGCCATCCACTATCCTGGATGGTTTGCATAGAGTTGCTGCTGTCCAGGGCATCACCACAATTGAAGTCCTCCCCATCTTCCAGCAGACGGCAGTAGGTGGCAATCAGCCTCCAGCTTGACCTTGCTGTTCAGCAGGGTCTTATACACCTGGGCCTGGTGCTGCCCCTCTTCCCGTGTCTGTGCCAGCTCCGAAACGAGGTGCAGCAGGACCCCATTGAGCTGCTCCATCTGCATGGCATAGTGGGCCTCCACCTCTCTCAGGCTGTTCTCCAAGATGGCCTTCAGATTTCTCACTGAGTCTAGGTTGATCTCCAAGAACTGAACTACACATCTCAGCTCCATAAGTGTCATCTCAGCAGCTCCTATTTTGGTGGACTGCATGGTGACCACTGTGGTATGCTCCTCAGTCTTCTGGGACCAGTACTTGTCCAGCTCCTCTTGGTTCTTCTGAGCTGGCTCATCATACTGGGCCAGGAGATCTGCCATGATCTCTCTGAGGTCCTGAGATTTGGGGGCATTTACCTCCATGGCAAATGCCCAGAGTTGGCAATCAGAGCTTACAGGTCTTTTACTTCTTCCCTGTGTTTCTTCTTCATGAAGAGCAGCTCCTCCTTGAGATACTCCATGTCTGTCTCCAGCTGTAGCCGAGTGTCATTGGTGTCATCAATGACCCTGTGGAGCCCATGGATGTTGCTCTCCACAGACTGGCACGTGGCCAGGTCTGTCTTATACTTGATTTTAAAGTCATCAGCAGCAAGACTCTAAAGTCAATCTGCAGAATGATATAAGCATTGTCCACAGACTTCGCAAAGATATGAGCCCCTCAGGTCCTTGATGGTCTTGAAGTAATGCCCCCAGGCTCTGACCTGGAGCCCCTTCTCCAGGTGCTCTCAGATTTTGCTTACCAGCCTCTGATTCTTAGTCACCAGAGTCCCCATCCTGTCCAGGTAAGAAGGCCAGGCAGTCATTCAGGCTTTGCATGGTATCCTTCTCATTGTGGATGTCCCCCATTCCTGCCAGATCCCAGGCCATCCCTGCAGCCAAGCCTCCAGACCCCAGCTGCCCCAGAAGCTGGTGAAACAGGACACTGAGGTCCAGAAGCCCAGGCCCCTGAGAGAACCCCCTCAGGCTCCCTAAGTAGCCAATCTGATCATTAGAAGTGTAAGGAAGTTAACTTCCAATCTCAAACTTTGAACTGTTGACCACTTTCCTCCAAAATATTAATGTCTCAGAGCCAGTTCCAACCAGCTTGTCTACATATTACTTGCCATCATTTGTCTCCACATTATTCTCCAGATACTCAGTGCTCATTCTTGCCTCGGCATCTTTGCTCAAACTACTTTCTCTCCCTGGATTCTGTTCTACCTTTCCTGTCCCTACTCATATGCTAGGGCCCAGCATCTGTTCTAGCTCTATCATAAAGACATACACATTAACTTCAGCCAAAACAAAATATCCCCCAAATAATACAAGGGAAGAAGTGCTCTGGAAACTATAAAATGTTCTGCAAATATGAAGTATTATTGTATTTTGGAGAAATTAATTGTACAATAGGGTTACAACATTATATCTTGCTTGAAAGTTTCCTAGTTGTTTCGTGTGTGGTTGGCCTAACACTACAAAACCACAGGCTATTATGACGGGAGTCCCATCTCATTTCTTGTATATCCTCACAGTTCCTAACAGCACAAAGCTGCAGTCAACACTCAATTCCAATAAAATGAATTCATCAAAATAAAGGATTTCTTAGCCACAGAGCTCCTCACTGGGCCAAATAATGTTAAGTTGATAAACACCTAAGAAATCACCGGTTAGTTTATGTGACTACAAATGAAGCCTCGAAAGTAGAATAAATTTGAGATGGGCAGTTGATGAAATTCAAGCGTCTTCTTTTTGGTTCATAAAGCTGTGATTCAGGAGAATTCTTTAAATCAGAGATTCAGTGCTCTAGGAGTGAATAGATTGCTTCATGATATTTCTGAATTTTGTTTAAAGCCAAAGGTTCAAACAGTGCAGCTCTCCAATTTGGTATTGTTTTGATTATTGTTTGTTTTCCCTTCCTGATTTAGTGGTGAGCATGCAGCCTCTGGTCCTACTTCCTTTGGTTGTCCTGATTGATGCATCTTTTGGTCTAACAAGCCATAGCCTCAGAGCAAAGTCAGGGCAAGCTTTAGTAGGCAGTTAGCTAACAGCAGTCAGCCAACAGCGTGGGCCAGCTCCACTTTCAGTAGCCAGGCGGCAGAGAGTTTTCTTGATGGACCCCGGGCCGCTTCAACAGACTGTCCCATGGGTAGAATGATCCTTGCCTCAGTCTGCTTCGCAAGGTTAACGGAAGAATTAAATGTCAAATAAAATAAGGTGAGATAAAGATAAATGAAGCGTGCTGTTATTACAACTGGTGCTTTGTCCTCCTTTCCCTCCAGGAGGGTTGTTGGGGACACTTAATGACCGGGCCTGAGCTGACTTGACCCCAACATCTTGCGTCCCACTCGAGCCAGTGGGTTTGGGAGTGAGGCGTTCATGAGACCCCGGAACAGGCATTAATGCCTAGATCGTGCAGTTCTCCGGACTTCAAGATCTGGGTTGCCCGACCCCGCTGCTTCGCTGCCCGGATGCGCAATCTCTATGGTAACAGCGAGGGAGACCGGAAAAAGCTTCTCTCTTCCGCCCAACAACCCGCCCTCAGGCTAGACTGACCAATGGCCCAGTGAGTTACGGAGGGATGGTGTGATTGACAGGGGGGGGGCGGTGTCTTGCAGCTCTGACCCCCCCACGATCTACCCAACTGAAGCCGGTCCAAGGGCCAACAGGCAGCACCAATCGGAGGGCGTGACAAGCCAACCCACCACGCTCGGCGTTGCCGGAAGCCGAGCTAGGAGTAAGCTAACGAGGAAGACGTTGTGTTGAAAGAGCGACGCTGATTAGTCAATCTTAAATCACGTGAATGAAAGTCCACTTGTGATTCGCTCTAAGTAAACCAGAGCCCAGTGGGCTGGAACGGGCCGGAACCTGAGGTGTGAGTAGGGCCCCGGGGAGAGTGGGGTCCAGGTGAGATGGGCGGAGGCGAGGCAAGTGGGGTGGCTGCGGAGAAGGGAGAAAGGTGAAGGGTCGGGCTGAGGTTATTGGAGAAGGCGTGGGCGGACGGCGATGCACGGACCGTCGCAGACCACCCTTACGCCGATCTGGACCAAAGACCCGGCTAATAAATACTTAATTGAGGGCAGAAAAAGAAGGACTGTTTTATGTTTCATGCTCTTAAGAAAAGGAAATGTCAGTGCTTGATTCAGATCTCTTATGGCCGAGACCTTAACCCCTCTCCAGCTACTGGGAGGTAGCTAGGTGAACATTCTGAAGACGAGACGTGGGGGACATTGTTTTCCTGTCTCCTGTTTGAATCAGCAAAAGGGTGGTGGAAAAGCTTAGAGTTCAAGTGGGGTGTTCCCAGCCTGCAGTGCTGTGAAATGTAGACAGCGGATAGACCGAGGCTCTGCAGTGCTTCCAACCCACAACACCATCCAGGAGAGGGATGCAAGGACGAGACCTGGGTTTACTGATCCCCCTTTTCTATCAACGTGTTAAGAGCAGATGCTACATCGGTGGCATTTTGGGAGCTTAACAACTGATTTTTTTTTTCTCCAGGCTTGTATTTTACCTAATTACAAAGGTAAAGGTGTTATTCTAATACTTTAAAATTCAAAAGATAGTGAAGTGTTTAAAGTAGAAACAAAATTGTGAAAGTTCCAAGTTATTTTTGAAGGTTTGGGAAACAGCTATAAAGCAAAGTAAAAAGGACTCTTCCAGAAGAGCACTTCACTCCTTAGTGTTGCTTTCAAGGGCTTGAGTCAGTGTGAAAATCGGGGGCTGGGTGAGCTATCTCCCACCAGCAGCAGCATTTAGACCACATTACCCCCTGAGGAATCCGCGTTTGTCTTAGATAGTAAGTCATCTTATAATGGCCGTTAGTATTCTCACTCATGATGATCAGCTTGGTGGTGAGTACTGTATTTTTAATCCATTAAGTTACCTGTGCAGAGGTCAGTCAATTTATTCCTGTTTTCTCTGACAGCTGGATGAAAGGGTATGTAGAAACAACCGTTAAATGAACACACACATCTAAAAGGTTTTAACAGGCTCTTTCCAGAGAAAAACCTCACAGTACTGAGCACAGAGGGAAAAAATTGACCCTGTAGTTGCTTTTGATGTCAGCTGCTGAACTGTTCAAATTTAAATTATTTTTTCTAACTCCAATCTACCTGTTTTAAATGCCACAGATAGTAGGTAAATGGACTTACGCTTGAAATCACATTGGCTAAGCCATCACTTCTCAAAGAATGTTTACAGGTGGCATCAACAGTAAATAAAAACACTTTTGTTTTTATATTTTATTGTATTGTACTCAATAACAATAATTTAGCTATTCCAACATGGAAATTATCAGATATTATTCTCACATTGAAAGAAGATAAAAATGAGTAGATGTCCTCTCTTCCCCTATAACAGCCCTCTATACTAAAGCCAGCCCTTATTTTCTGTGCTTAGTAAGAAAATGTATAGTTTGCCTATAAAATTATCAACTCCATTCTTAGAAGACCTTGGGAATGTTTATCTTATTTCTTTAAAGCCATACCATGTATAAATCCAATGTCTCATTAACTCTTAGGCTACTATGGGGGATTGAAGGACAACATTTCTAATGGTTCCAGCCAGCTTCAGCTACCATTTGCCCTCGATTCTGTCAGAGTTGTTCCAAGTCTTCTAGGTTATTTGTGTAATATCCAGGCTAGCATAAATTACATTTAAGTAGTTGTTTTCTTAAAGGCAGTACCATCAGCTTAGTCAACTAAGCTAGAAACTTGAGTCATTTCTAGTACCACCCTTGACACAGCTAAGACTAGAGTTCAGACCCTCATCATCTCTTATCTGGCGAACTGCAATAGTTTCCTAACTGGTCACCCATTCATATGCATTCTGCTACTCATTACCTTCCTTTTTTTTTTTTTTTTTTTTTTTTTTGTGAGACAGAGTCTCACTCTATCCCCCAGTGGCACGATCTAGGCTCACTGTAACTTCTGCCACCTGGGTTCAAGCAATTCATCTGCCTCAGCCTCCCAAGTAGCTGGGATTACAGGCGCCTGCCACTGTGCCCGGCTAATTTTTGTGTTTTTAGTAGAGACGGTGTTTCACCATCTTGTCCAGGCTGGTCTTGAACTTCTGATCTCGTGATCCACCTGCCTTGGCCTCCCAAAGTGCTGGGATTACAGGCGTGAGCTACCACACCCTGCCCTTTTTTAAAAATTAAAAACTATCCCCCAAATTTTAAAAACAGAAAAAGGTACATTGGGTAGTATGATATCTATGTCCACCAATCGGATTAATATTAACATTTGACACACCAGCTCAAGTTTTTCTTTTTAAAGGAATAAAACAACACAGATTTAGTTCAGATCCCTTTTATTTCCACTCCCAACCCCATTCCCTTTCCTTCCTCCCTCTCCAGAGGCAAATAGTCTCCCGAAATTGTCATACATCATTTATGCCCATGTTTTTATACTTCTGATGTATATGTGTACATCAGAAACAATATATATTACTGTTTAGATTATATTTAATTTTAAAAATATAAATAGTATCATACTATGGGTTCCATTTTGCAACTTGTTTTTGTCACTCAACATTGTTTTTGAGTTAAATTCACAATACATATAGATTAATTTCATTCACTTTGTGTTCATTATGAATATATAATATTGTACCTGTTTCCTGATTGATGAACATTTCGGTTTTTTTCCTGATCTTTTGCTGTTGTAAACAAAGCTGCAGTAAACACCTTGTACGTGTCTCTCTATGCAAGGGTTTTTCTAGAATAGTGGTTCTCCGAGGAGATGTTGCTGCCTGTTTAGGGGTGTTTTGGAATTTGTGAAGGTATATTTTGTTACTCTTGTGATTAGAGGCACTGCTAGGGTTTACAGATCAGGACTGGGGATGCTAGATGTTCTGAAATGCATGGGACAGTCCTCACAATGACGAAGTGGCCTGCATCCTGTGCAACTTTTGAGTATCCCACAGGATACTCATTTATAATTATCTGAGTCTGGAGCCTAACTCCGGTTTTTGTATAAACATAATGTATTTTTTTGGCACAGTTTAATATAGTAAAATTTCCAGGAATGCAACTCTAATGTTAATCAAGGGAAAATTATACTTATTTGTGGTTTGGAACTTTAACAAGAGTTGTTCATCACTCTAGCAAATCATGTAACTGAAGGCAGCACAGCTCGTGGTATTTGAGTTGCCAGAACAACACACCTGCATAGTCTGCATTTGAAGCTTTTGCGTTCGTGGTGATTCTAAGTTTAGGTGCAAGCATCTGACTACTGTACTTCATTATGTATTCTAGTGTAGTCAGCCTGAACATTTGTATATTTAAACATATGCTATTTCATTATGAATTTCTTTCCATTTAAAATCGACTTCTGTATATCATATAGAGATCTAGTTTTATTATTTTCCTGTTGGAGAATCATTTGTCCCAACACCATCTATGAAATTCTTTACCCACTGAATCATGAAGCCAACTCTGTCCTGTAGAAAGTTCTCACAAATGCATGTATCTGTTTCTGGGTTCTCGATTTTATGCCACTGGGCCATGTGTCTTTGTGCCACTATCACACTGTTTTAATTACTTTGGTTTTTTAATGTGTCTTGCGGCAGTTGGTAACAAGAAAGGCAAGTTGCCATCCTAGTTCTCAAAATTGTTTTGGCTATTCTTGGGTTTTTGCTCTTCCATATGAATTTAGGATCCGTTTTCAAGTTCCACAAAAAAATTGTTTTTAGACTTTGGTTAGAATTGCATTGAATTTATAGGTTAAGGAAAATTGAAATTTTGTGGTTGAACCCCATCCAGGAACACAGGTTATGTCTCTCTTCAGGTCTGCTTTATTTCTCTATTCAGGTCTCTCTCTCTTTTGTTTTTTTGTCTTTGAATAAAGTTTTATAATTTTAGCTATACAAATCTTACTCACCTTTTGTTATGTTTCTTCATACTAACACAGATATACATAACCACATCTTTTTGTTATGAAAGTTTTGAATATATTCAGAAGTATAGAAAATAGAATGGCAAACATCTACACACTCATCACCCAGCTTCAACTAGCTCATGACTACTCTTGTTTCCTGTCACCCCCTTCACCTTCTCTCCCCCAGATAATATAAAGCTTCTAAGAAACCCTTTTCTGTTAGCTGTAATATGTTACTTGTGTGTATGTATATGTCTTTATGATAAAGAATCTTTTAACAATATAATACCATCTTAAAAAATTTTTTTTGCTGAAAATACAAACAGTAATTTCCTAATATTATATATTCTTCAGATTTCCCCAATCATTTTATAAAAGGTTTTTACAATGTTTTGTTTGAATCAGGACCAGAAATGGGTCCATTTACTACACTTGGCTGATACATCTCTTAATATTATTTCTGTAAACTTTTTAGTGAAGGGTAAAACACATACAGAAAAGTATATAAATCCTAAGTGCATGGTTAGATACAACATCACTGTATGAACAAAGCCAGGTGACCAAAACCCAGATCAAGAAACAAAATTTTATCAGCATCTCCCTAAACCCCCTACAGTCACTATGTTTCACAAGCCAGCCATACTTCTGACCTCTAGCCCTTAAAATTAGTTTGATCTGTTTTTGAACTTTATATAAATGGAATCATATAATATGAACTCTTTGCCTCTGGTTTTTGCAATCAATATTTGTGAAATTGATCCACATTGTTGAGTCTAGTTGAGTGTGTTCTTTCTCATTGCTCTATATTATTCTCATTGCTTTATACTACATAATGCTTTTTACACTGTATGAATGAATAGATTGTAAATACTGTATCCACTCTATTGGTAGATATTTGGATTGTTTGAGGTTTTAGCTATTTCAAGTAGGACTGTGATGTCTTTTGGTGAACTTATGTGTGCATTTCTGTTGTGAATACATCTAAGAATAGAAGAGCTGGACGTAGGGTGCATTTATATTCAGCTTTAT